CCCCTCCCCAGGGCAGCAGGCAGGACTCCTGCCTGCCCTGGCCTGGAGCAAGCCCGCCCCGCAGCCTCCTGCCCTCTCAGTCAGAAATGTGCGGGTCCTCGGTAGGTCATGGAGTCGGCTCCCCTGCCCCGGGCTGGACCCCGACCAGGTGCTTGTCCAGTCTCCTCTTGAAGAGGTCAGGCCGAGCACCACCTCCCTTGGGAGCGCATCCCAGACTCTGGCCACCCTGCCCTGCCCGTGAAGAAGCTCTTCCTGATGTCCAAGCTAAAGCTGTTCTCCGTGGGTTTTGTGGCCATCCGGGGTCTCCTATTCCCTGCTGCCCTCCCCTGATGATTTATATAGGCCTGTTGCAAGCCCCCAGGCACCTAGGGGGTCACCTGCCAGCCTCTTGGTGGGCCTGGGCATCACCTGTCCCCAAGGCCCTTTACATCCCTCTGAGCTCCAAGGATGAGGTCCAGCCCTGCCGTGGACATCCACCCCCCAGCAGGTGCTGCCCCTTCCCGTTCTGAAGAGCTGTGGGGGTGGGAGGGGGGATACACTGGGGCAGCGCAGCCAAGAGTCCTGGCTCTCTCCTGTCCTGCTGTAACAGTTGTGAACTCCTCCAAGACCGTTTTACGCTGGACATAAGGAAAAACTTCTTTATGGTCCAAGTCCCCGGGGCCTGGAACAGACTCCCTCGGGAGGTGGTGCAAGCACCTCCTCTGGACTCTTTTAAGAAACGTTTGGATGCTTATCTTGCTGGGATCCTTTGGCCCTAGCTGACTTCCTGCCCCTGGGGCAGGGGGCTTGTCTCGATGACCCTCCGGGGTCCCTTCCAGCTCGAATGTCTATGAAACCATTGGGCCCCTCTCGCCTCTCCAGCAGGCCTTGGGAAGTGCACCTGCAGCATGGCACAGAGAGGGCACCTGGCCCAGGGGGTGCTGGCCGTGTGCCTCCTGTCACTTGCCCACAGAATGAAGTCAGTGCCCAGCCGTCTCTGCGCCTGAATCCTGCTGTTCCCGGGCCCGCTATAATTTCCCAAATTGCTTCTGAAACAAAGCTGATGGAGGCATCTGCCCAGCACTTTTGGACTGAGTAATTTCCAGTACAAATGGGTAGAGGGGAGACTCGACTCCATTATCTTCAAGCAGTGGGTACTAATGCTGCCCCTTGCTATGCCAAGATATTGCTGCCTTGCCCTGGTACCATCCAGCTCTCTGTGGCACCCCTTGGGTGGCGATGCTTCCTACCGTGGTACAGCTAGGTTTGGGCCCTTAGACGGTAGCATTTTTCTTCTGGCAGCATCTCCTCTACTAGGATCTGGGGCTGTCCTGCCTGGTGAGGAAAGCCCTCTAAGATTTTCTGCAGTAATGCTGCCACCACTGTGCCAGTGCAGGGCTAGAGGGCAGACACCTGCAGGCACTACACAGACTTTGTACAAGCATTGTTCTGGGCTTGAAGGAGCCAGCCCCAGGGAAGGCAGTTTTAAATGTACCTGCTGGGCTGATTCAGGAGGAGGAAAACCAACCAGTCAGCAAGATTTTTTTTTTTTTAAAGAAGTAATGAGAAGTCAAGGTGAGTAAGTGTGCCAGAAACTGCACAGGAGTGAATGGGAAACCTTCCTGGAGGTTTAGTTCAGTCATGTTGCTTTGAGCAGGGGGACAGCCTGCCCTGCACCTAACTGCAAGTGGCCACTCGGACCTCCCTTCTGAGCACTTCCACTGTGGGAGGGGGTGTAATTGAACTGAAGTCAATTCCTTATACTCCAAAAACTGGGGAGTCCTCCCCCTACACCCTGTTGCAACAACTACCTGATGCTATGGGTTTTGTCTTTGATGCAACGCATTGTTTCTGATAAAAGTCTTGTGTGGCAGCATGTAGCATGGGCAGGATGGATCCTAATCCTTTCCAATCCTGCTCCTGCCAATCCTTGTGATCTGGAACAACACAGGGGTGCAAAGGACTCTTGACAGGTAAACAGAAGGTCAGTGCTCTTTGATTTATTCATGCCGATAGTCTGACGCTTGCCCACAGGCCCTGACCCTTTTCCTGCCTCTTCAACTGAGGAAAAATGATGTCCTGCCAACGTCTTTTAAAATCTGATTGTCCAGCCCCAGTTAGATTTCCATAGCAACTCATCTCTTTCAAACACGAAGGCTGAGGCTCTAACGCATGGCTTCCCAGGCATTTCAGCCCAGGTGAGTGCCTCCGTAGATTTGTATGGGACCCCCGAACAATGCTCAGCTGTGTACCAGCCCATTCCCTGAGGCTTGCTAAGCCCTTTGCTGACGATAGACTCAACCACTGCTCTCCCCAAGAGCTTTCATCAGGATTATCAGCTCAGTTTTGCTTAAGGGAGAGCAGAACACAGGGAGGGGAAGTTGCTATCTCAGAAGGCACGTGGGATGGAGCCAGGACCCCTTACAGCACAAGATGTCTGTTTGACTCCTCTTTCCCCAATGGCATAATTAGCCTCCCACCCCCATGGGCAGGGAAGTCCTGCCATGGCAATAGCTAGAGGGCCAGTGAGACTAAATTGAGATCCTCAAGGAAACTAAGCCAAACTCCCTCGTGGAGCAGGACCTAGGCACCTTGTTTCCTTTGGAGGATCTTAGCCTAGGTGCCAGAGCCAAGGTCATGCAGCGAAGAGCTGAACACCAGTTCTCAAAGTCCTGGATCACTTGGCAAGCCTGCCTTTTTACTCTTCCTGCTGGACCAAACTTCCCCCTCCTCCACTCAGGGCCAGGAGATATTGGATTCTCTTCTCCTGGCTAGTAATTCTCAGGAAATGACTGCACTTCTTGCAACTTTGCGCTAGGTTCCTGAGGTCCCAATTCCTCCTCCCTACTCTCAAGCAGAGGTATTTTTAGAGGGAGAGGAACTTAATGCTTAATGTTGGGGATTGTCTATGCTTCTGGTGGCTGTCTATGCTTCTTGTTCTACTAGGGCTGCTGAGGAGCTGGGAGGAGGTTCAGGAGGAGTCCCAGGGCTGGGAGGAGCTGTGTGTGCATAACACTTTACAGCGGGCTAAATGCTTTTGCACCGCTTTAATGGTGTCGGTGTTTGCATGCCTTGGCAGTGTATTGAACATGAATTCTAGCTGCTGTAGGAAATTTGGTGGTGTAATATGCCTTAAATGACTTGGGGCACAGCAAACTAAAACTCCTCGAAGGAGTTTTAGTTTGCTGCCCCTACAGTCATGGAGCAAAGCACTGGGCTCCATGCAGTTCCACGGATCTGTAGGAAGCCCTGCAGGCAGCCTGGCAGCAGCCTGGCAAGCCTGATCTTATTTTTTCCCCCCTCCTGGAGCCTGCCTGCCTGCCTGAGCTGCAGGGGCCTGGTGCTTTCCTCCCTGGCTGCGGTGCCCTCCGGGACTGCCAGAGCCAGATGCCTGTGAGTGGGTGCCACCTGGTGGGGGGTGGGGAGCCGGGGAGCCACCCCTGCTGTGGAGGGAAGCACCAGCCCTCTCCCCAACGCACACATAGCACAGGGACTGCTCTGCCTGCTGGCAGCTCGCCCTCCCCTCCCTTCGGGAGAGCCAGGTAAATCAGTGGGGTGTGTGCTAATCTAAGCACTCTAGAGGCTCTTTAGGCAGCATGCCCCTTTGTCTACCTCTAGGTCTAAGTGTACTATTCTTACCTAACTTTCCAGTAGGATTTTAGTAGAAAAGGGACAGTTGATAAGGTGGTAGGGGAGAGACAGATGCAGCAGCCTGGGGAAAACTTGTAGATAGAACTCGACTCTCCTCACCCTAGTTTCATGGACTTCGGTGGATGATTTCCTGAGAATCAGGCCTGAAGTCTTCACATTCTGTCAAGAAAGCAAATAGGTGCTAAGAGTTGCTTTGACAGATGTTATTTGAAACCCCAAAGAAACCAAACATGTGATCCTATGGCCCCATATCCAGGACAAGATGATTTCCTAGTCAGATTCCAAAGTGGGTAATGACATGCCACCTACCTGGACTGTGTGTCTGCATTTTCAACCGGATGCAGAATTTTTCTACACCTCTCTGAGTAAAACTTTCAGTTTTTTTGAGCACAGATAAAACACCTGTGTTCCACTCCAGAGTTTGTTGCATTTCAGGAACAAGCAAAGTAATTCCTATATATATTTTGGGCTCATTGGCATCATGCAAGTTATTTATTTGGGTTCCTGAAGAGCATATTCTATTGGCACTTCCATTAAAAGGAATGATACAAAGGAAAATTTTGAGACATTATCAAATGGGTAATGGATAAAAGGGCACCAGCAGCTGCTTATCCTTTGCCTGTGCCCTGAAAGGACAGATGCCCTTCTCTGCATGCAAAGGAAGGAGAGGAATTCTAGTCACAAAAGTAGGTGGGCACTCAAATCCTCTCCATGGCTTTCTCCCAGCTGGTTTCAGTAGCTCCCTGCTCTTCTTGCTGCAAATCACACCCTTACCTTCCCTCACTGTCCAAGGGAACCTGGGCACCTAGCTAAAGACTGGAAATGACTAACATCTAACCAAGCCCTTCATGATTCTAGCACACACTGAGTGTGTCTACATGTGCATTATAATGTGCTTTTCCTAAAGTGCATTAAAGTTAGTGATTCCAATGTGAGGTACTAAATAAGTACACATTAGGCTGCCCTAATGCACAGTAGTGAAAGCACATGCTTTTTAAAGTGATATTTAATGTACAACAGCCTATTTTACAGCTCATTAGCATATTTGCATGGTTTTTTTATGCAACGCTTTAATGCACAGTAAAATAGGCTTCTGCACATTAAAGCACAAGTATAGGTGTGCCCACTGTACACATTTCTGGTGGGGCTGAGGCTAGAAACCAGGTCTTTGGCTGCTAAAGAGATGAGCTGTTTGGGTCTGAGTTGAAGGCACTTAGCTATTGGCATTAGCAGGTCCCTTACTATTTCTTAGGGCTCAAAGAGGCAAGGAGCATCACGTATTTAC